GTTTTCTTTATTGCTTTCTTTCTTATTTCAAATTCTTCCTTCGTTGCTTTCCCTAACTTTTTTTTCTTACACTAAAATACCGTCTTTCCGCTTTTCCTTTTAAATAAACGGAATGTCACTCCATTATTTATTAGCCATTGGCTGGGCGTAACGTACGTGTTAAGGAACGAGAATAATAATAATAATAATAATAATAATAATAATAATGACAAAAGCCCTGGCGCTACACAAAGCTTAAATTCTCGTCGCTCCTGGTCTTTAGCGATTGGGGCCTTTCCCTGTAACTGTTGGTAAATGAAATTAGGCCACATTAAATATCTCACTGAATATTTCCGATTCGCAAATTTCAAAATTAACTGAACATATTATTTGTCCCATCGGGGCAAACGATCCGAGTATATTTGTTCAGTGAAATATTAATAAAACATTAATTTTGAAGGATATAGTTTAACACTAGGAAAACACTTAAGATATTTCGATTATTGCAACGTTCTATACTACTTTTATTAAAAGCAGTCTCCATATCGCGTACATTCGGTTAAAAATGCAATGTATTTTGATATACCCATGCAGGCACATTCTGGTATCCTAGCGGTTCTATTTTTACCGATTCTTTTTTCACATGATAAAAACACAGCGAACCGATTGTTAGATTATCCGAAAATAATCTTATATATTAATAGCCGATATATAAAAATATAATTAATACCACTAGTGGAAGTTCTGCGGAGTATTTTCTGTGATGAACATAATTTATTCTGACAAAAGAAGTCATCTTTTTAAATCAAAATAAATAATCTTTAATCATAAATTTTTTCACATTTCCATTGGATCTTTGGGACTGCAGCGATTCACTTCAAATGTGGCTAAGAAACCATAACCCAGGTGATGGCACTAGAGTCAAAAAGCATCAAACTTCTGAATAGAAATATGAGAACAGAATTTCAATCTGCAAATATCTTAATAAATAAATGTTTTCTATTAAATTATCAATATAGTTTAATCCATTTTGTTACAATAAAGTGATTTGTTTTCATTCTCACATTGAAAAGAAAATAAGCAGAATAGGTCTCTAAAGATGGTCTTCCTTTATAGAACCAGTTCCTGGAAAATTTGGGATGGCATTATTGTATATAGACCTTGGTAAGATGATAGCCATATTGGTTTTCGTGTATTTTGAACTTTGTTAGTTTGCCCCTCTCTAAATAATAATAATAATAATCTCTATCTATAAAAGCCAGGATGTGTGTGTGTGTGTGTGTGTGTAACGAATGCACGGCCGCAATTTTCGACGGATTTGCACCAAAATTTACATGCACATGCTCCAAGTTAGCGGGAAGGCCAAGACCGACTTTGCATTTCCCAACTCCCATCGATAGTGGAAATACTCGATTTTTCATGCTTCTACGGCAGTTTTCATGTAGTTTGCGGCCATTTTGTACTAGCCAGAGTGAGAGCCTATAGCTGGCTGCCACGAATAGGCAGGAAGATTCTATTGGCCAGCGTGAGAGCCAACAGCTGACTGACACGAATGTTAACTAGCATGCTAGCATGCAAAAAAAAAATCGATAGCTGCATTCGTCACAAGTGGGAAAAATTTAAATCTGCATGGCACTTTACTCCAATTGGCTCATTCGCTTGCTTAAACTCAACGTTGATTCTGATTCCGCAGAAGTGGGTTGGGTGTGAAAAAGTATTTGTTGTTAACATTCTTTTTTTCATTCGGTTTTTCCAGTTACGAGTCCTTTTTTTAAGCTGATCGTTTTGTGTTCATTTTGTTTAGTTCTTTTTTCGTAACAGATTTAATGTTTAGTATAGAGCTTAGAAAAAAATTCGCAGTGTGAGATAGGCAAGAAGTAAGGCATGTAGCAACATCAGCACGGCAAAGGGCACTCCTTTAAAGGCAAGGAAGGGCAAAATATTTTAAGTCAAGTGATAGCGATTGCTGTATGAGTCGTACGATTTTTGAATCAAGCACGGGCAACGCCGGGCCATGCTGCTAGTATATATATATATATATATATTTATATATATGTTATATTATATATTTATTTATATTGATTATTAAAGATTTTCTTGATTTTTTCATAAACATGTTTTGTTTTTGGTATTTTTTTGCAAAATATGTCAACATGAAAGTTTTTAGATTAAAAATTATTTCAACAAATATTCTATTGAAACAAACAGAAAAATTTTGGATTTGAAATTATTGATATCAAAGTTAAGATATAAAAAATTTCTTGAATATTTATGTAATTATTTGGATGACTAAACAAATTTCTGAAAATGATATTATGTCAAAAAATTTTAGTCTGTTTTGAAAAATTTTTTTAAACTTTGTAGAAAATATTTAATGATATACTGAATGCTATGGAAACCTATTTATTCCGTCCAGTTCGGAAAATTACAAACATATGTCATTTTAAAACTCATATCATTTCTAAATTTAACAGTATTTATTTCTAAATCACTTTTTAGTGAAATCCAAAAATATGTTTGTTTTTGAAAGTTTTTTGCAAAAAATTTTAAAAAAAGAAAATGATTATGCGGAGATATTTTTGCATTTTACCTTTATCTTTTAAAACTACAGCCATAAAACCATAAATTCCGGGTTAAAGAAAGATTCCAGATGACCAGATAAAACTTATTTATTTTAAATTGTCACTTGATTAATGTTTTTATTTATATATTTGCTGATTTCAAAAAAACAATGGAAAATATACGAGTTTGGCTAAATATAATTTTTATTTAATCCATCTATCGCTTTTTAACATGAATTCATTTTAGAATTGAATTTTAGAAATTATTCACTTATTAGATCCACCGATTTGGTAAGATTTTTTCAGTTGGTGGTTAAAATTTAAAATATTATTATTTATGCATGGAAAAATTGAATAGCAGAATAAAAAAATGACTTTTGTAAAATTTTTTTTTTTATTTTTAAGGCAAGCTTTTAAAAAAAATATTTAAGAAAAATTTAATATAAAGAATTATTTAAAATTTTATGATATTTTTTGGGAGGTTGGAATTATTTTTAAAAAAAAATTATATTCAATTTAAAAATAATTGAGAGATTTAAAAAAATCTTTTCATTATTTTAATAAATATATTTTTTTTTTTTGTTGAAAATAAAAAAATAGAAAATCAAGAAATTATTTTTATTATTATTTACATCCATAATATTTCATTAATGAAGGTAATATTGTTTATTCTTATAAAATAAAATTTAATTTAAAAATATTCCAATTTTCGATGTTTCAAAAAAATAATTAAATGTTATATTAAAATAAAATATTTTTAAAAATTTTAAATCAAAATCAAATATCCATATAAATTTTACATTATATTATATATTACTTGGATTTGAAAAAAATATTTATTTTAAATAATATATTTAATATTTTTAAAATAATAAAAAAAAATAAAAAAAATTTGTTTGAAACCTAAAAATAAAAACCTATTAAAAAATTTATCTTTTTATTTGGTCATATAAATGAAATTAATTCAATGCACAATAAGATATATATTTAATAAAGATATTTTTTATTTTTCCATAATTTTTTATTTCAAAATGATTTTTAAAAATATTATGTTCACCATAATTAATTATTTAATGTAAACATTTTTTCTTCAAAATATTCTTTTTGGTTTGTTTTTTTTTCTTTTTCCAATTCTAATTATATTGAAAAAAATTTTAATTTGAATCAAAATTTTAAATCATTTCAAAAAATATACTTTTTTTTTTTTATAAAATATTATAAATTCATTTGATTGAAATTTAACGATGTTACATTTTTGTTAAATTATTTTCATTTAATAATTTTCAATGATTTTAATAAAAAAAAAATTTTGAAAAAAAAAATATTTTTTTAAATTTTTTTCTATTTTTTTGAAAAAAATTTTATCCTTCTAAATTCATAATTTTCATTATTTGAGAACAAATTGTATCAAAAATTTTTTCCAAAAAATCCTTAAATTTAAAATTGAAAAAAAAATTAATTAGAAATTTTTTTAAAAAAAATCTAAAATTTTTTTAAAGAATATTTCCTTTTAAGTGCTTATTATATTATTTTTTTATAATTTTTTTTGTATAAAATGAAAAAAAAGTTTGTGCTACGTTTTTATGAAAACCATTTTAGATTGAAAAAAATATTTAATTGAGAAGTTTGTTAATAAAAAAAATTTATTTTTTAAATAAATATGTATAAATATATAGAAAAAAAGTAAATTTGATTAATTTTTATTTTTCTTTTTAAAAAAAAAATTACTGCTTAATAATTAAAATAAATATTGTATTATATTTTTTTATATATTCTTTATATATTTATATATTTTGAAAAAAAAAAAATTTTTCATAATTACTCAATTGGTAAATTTAAAGTAAATAAAAAATTTTTTTCAATTTTTGATAAATATTTGACATATTTTTCTTTAAATTTATAAATTTCATATTCTAATTTTTGTCCATAATTAAATGACTTGATTTTAATTTCATTTAAATTTTGTTTCTTTCAACAATTTAGGCTTGTTTTAAATCCATAAAATTTTAAATAAATTTTGAATTTGGCTATTCTTTATCAAAATATTTCCAATTTATTTTTTTTTTTTGAGAATTTAATTACATATTTTTTTTCAAAATTTTATTTATATTTAATATTTGTAAAAAAAAAAAAAATTTTTGATATTTAAAAGAATTTGATAAAAATTGAAAAAAAAATTAATTTTTTTAAATTTTGAATTAAATTTTTTTAGCGAAAAACTTTTTTTAATTTGAAGTGATATAATATATAAATTTTTGAAAATTGTATTTGTTTATATATTTTTTATAAAATTATTAATTTTGAAAATGATATAAATTTTTAATTTTTTTTTTATTTTCAAATTTTTTATCCATGGGGAAAAAAAAAATATTTTTTTTTTCTTTTTACGTTACAATTTTTTGTTTTGGATTAAATGAACTGTTAATGTTTTGGAAAAATTTTTTGAAAAACAAATTGATT